AGGTGACCCTGCTTCGGCAGGAGGGTTGGACTAGATGACCCACAGAGGTCCCTTCCAACCCCTACTATTCTGTGATTCTGTGATTCTGTGATTCTCCAGTTTTGCCAGATCTGTTTTTCCACTGACATCTCCAATGCTCTTGGAAATTTGGCCTGAGATAAGGATTCCCTCTATCAAGAGTATGTGTTCATGAAGTGCAACAGTAGCTATTGCTGTGCTTGTTTTACAGACCTCCTTGTTTATGTATTGAAACTTTTTTAAATCAGAGGGTTTGAGTTGCCACATCATCCTGCTGCTTAGTTCTAGTCAAAATTTAAGCTAAGCAAAAACTGGGTGTGACTGATACCTGGATGGAAGGCCTGAAAAAAATGAAGTGCTACAAGTCGAATCTTCAATTATTCAGTAGACAGTTCTAGCTGCAAGTTAATTTAATATTCAGGCTCCCTTCTAGAAAAACACAAAGATCACTAAAAATAGCTGTACAGAAAAAAAATATCATATCGTGTAACAAGTATCTCAGTCCGAAATAATGAGGTGGTTAATCAAAATCCTCTCATTTCATCTAGGAAAAAATATTTTTGACAGCCTGAGAAACTAATTGAGTGAAGTTGTTATGTCTTACTAAAAATAAATACTGGAATCAATCCCAAACATAAGTTTCATTTGTATGTAAAAACATACTTAAGTTGTTATGGAGTTAGACACTGCAAAGTTTCCCTAGGGAGCACCGGTTTGTTAAGAGAAACTAATGTAAAGCCTTCTTTATGCTACCGATCCACGATAAAAAAGGAAAGGGGGGAAAAAACCAAAAAAGCAGCACACCAAAAAAAAAACCCCACAAAATTAGGAGATATCAGAAACTACAGCTACCATATAGAAAACGAGACTATTTTTAATGTCCAGTACAGTGTGAAACAGGTCATTATAGGCTGTCTTCGTATCAGATACACTTTAGATCCAGAAGCTACATTTGATTCAAACTATTGAAAATTTTAATTTATACTCATGAAGTGATAGCAAATGCATTTAAACAACAAAACCTGCCACTACTTCGAAGTAAATTAAAAAGAACTTTTAGCTATTGAGGAAGTATTATGACATACACTTTTTCATATACCTGTCAGCTGCTCTATAGATGAACACAAGGCTATCAAAATGACCTGTCCACATGTTAGGAATCACTTTAGCAAAGAGCTGCTTACCTAGGTCACCAGTGACTCTGTAGGTGCCATCTGCAAAAACCCAGAAGAAAACTCCTTTGGTTTGCCGAACATATATCCCACCATTGTCGACCCTTCCTGCAATAAACACGCCCCCATCACGTTGTTTTTCTATGTAGATGTCACAAGTGACTGTCATGTTTACCCTATAAAAGAAGTTTAGCATTTTAACAAGCAACGAATCGATGTTTTTCAGCAGGCAGTAGGTAGAATAGTATTCCCTATGTAGTACAGCAACCTTTTTGAGGAAAGATTTAACAATCCTAATTGTGACCTACAGGTGTGACATGCACACGACCTGACTAGACTGGTTGTTTCCCCACCTGTGAGTCTATAGATTTTCTTAGGAAAAACAGCTCTTGTCATAAACCAACAACAAAAACGAAGTGTTATTATCAGCAACTTCAATTAATTATTTTTTAAAAAAAAGCCAAACCCAAACAGAAGGTTTGCATCTCCACAGAAAAAGCCTCAGGTCTGCAAAATGAAAAGTTGCCTTTAGGTAATTCTATCAAATTCAAGATTCAAGGTCATAGCATCACATCTGCTAAAATCTGCTTGTCATTTCTCTAGCATTTTTAAAACAAGCCAAGTCTTAAGTAATCCAGACCTCTGGCCCAAAATCCAAAGCAAACTTTTTCAAACAAAACGTTCAAATAGGTTGAAATTATCTGATTTTCCTGAGGTGATACTTCAGCTCAACAGTAAAGCACCATGTTTTACATATAATGACAGCTATAAAGGAGAATAAAGCAAAGGAATACCAGAACAATCAAATGGCAACTAGAAAATTTGCACAACTTCCCTCACCCTGAAGTTGCGCTACAAGCCTCTTTATGAAAATTAAAAGCATTCTTTACCTCTACTAACGTACATTCAAATTAAAATCTACATCACATGTCTAAAAGGACTTGCAATATGGATACAGCCACAAAGTCACATATTTAGGAAGTTTCTAATTATCAGTAATTATTTACAGAATGTGAAAAGACTATGACATGAGCTGATAACTAAATCATGAAGAATATTTTAGCAACACTTCTCCCCACCTCTTACATGAAGTAAGAATGACCTGAGATTTCATTCTAATGTAATGCTATTAGAAGTATCAGATTCTTGGATACATATTCATTACTTAAACAAGATTTATTTCTTGCCTCCCTACGTATTAAACGAGACCCCCACATTTTGCATAAGCCACTATAACCAGATTAGAAGCAACACAGAATGAGTTAAATAGTAATATTTTCAGGATATACCTATGTTCAATAAAACCATCAGAGCAAAACACTAACAAATTCAGGAGTATAAACAAAAAGCTTTCACAAGCACAAGATTAAAATCCAAACCAAATCCAACTAAATCCTGAAATTTAATCATATTAAATTGCCAAATTCATTTGAAGTCAAATATCATTCCACAGAGAAATTCAGTGCAAGATTGGTTCAGTATTCCAATAGCATGCACTACCAATTGAAAACAACCACCTAGGGCAAGATGAGCCTTAAACTGAATATAAAGCAAACAAATCAGGGGGCCTGAAATTGAAGGCGGTCATTATGAAAAGTTACAGATCAGTAAAACTGGAATAATCAGCTGAATGTTGAGGAAGCAAGCTTGGTTCTGAAAACAAGATGAAAATTCAGAAAGAAATGGAACCAAAATGAAGTAATAGTAAGTTGTTAGGAATCTCCGTAAAATAATTTTAGAATACATCCTGTGTAGTTTTCATAGGGATCACTGAATATGGTCTACTCAGTGAGCGAAAGTCGATTATAGGGGGAATATGAGACTTTGCTTAACAGAGGGCTGCAGAAGAAACCATCAGGTAACTGAAGAACAACCTTCAGCTACAAGATGGTAGCATTCTTCCAGGCTTCAGAGCAAAGTCATTCAATCACTTGTCGAGGCAAGAAATTAGAAGCATGAAGCATGTTTTGAAAAAAACATACAGGCGATCAATGATCCAATTAAAATGAAAAAAACTTGACCTGAATGGCTATTTTAAAGAACACACCAAAAGAATTTAAGCTAGACTTCAAATAAAAGAAAAAGTTTTAAGCATAAAGTTTATTACTTACTATTACTAAACCAATTAGTTAACAGGCTCTTTCCCAAATGCTTTTTATTTTTAAATAAATATTATGCTAAAATATGCTGCTTGATTCCAAATTACCATCATTGTAACTCCCAGAAAGAATTGCAAGCATAACCATACTCTTATCAAACCAATAAATGTCAGTTATGTTTAACCAGAAATAAAACTGGTTTAAGCAGCAGTTGAATCAAATCCACACAATTCTAGGAACTGCTCGGAAGATGGTAGTCTACAACAAATGTAACAATTAACTCCCAGACCATTTCACCAATATGAGATTGATCAAATTACTAACAATTTTGAGTTGTCTTGCTTTAGTAATTTAAACCGAATCATTTTTTTTGTGTCCCATTTAAAAACGTATTGAAACTCAGTGCACACTTTGAACTAGGATTTTGACTTGGTCTTTCTAGTACGCCAACCTAGATCCATTATTCTGAAAACTCAGCTTGAACAAATGCACCTAGCGTGACATTAGGAAAAAAGATTTCCAAGACAGTGCAGCAGTGGGTCAGGCTACCAAGAGATGTGGTGGGCTCTGCATCCTTGGATGTTTTTGAGACTCATTTAGTCAAAAACACAATTGATCTCTTAGAGTTGGCAATAGCCCCAAGCAGGGCTCAATGACTTTTGGAAGTGCCTTTAAGACATCATTTCTACATGTCTATGGAGAGTCTGAATGCAAAAGCTCTCTGTCCAGGAGAAAGAAGGCTTGAGACAGATTAACTGATTATAACTCACACCGGTAAGGAGAACACTTCCTCACATGTGACTAGAAAACAGTATTTACATACCACTGAAAATTTCCTATGAGACTGATGGTCTGGTCTGCATCAGAAGCCCAAGTGACAGGTCGCTGAACCACCACCTGGCGGAGTGTGAACACATGATCTCCTGGGTCAGAAGCATTTATGAAGTATTCAAATACACCTGTCTGATCTGCAAAATTTGGGGCTTCACTGAAAGGTGGATTACCTGTTCAGAAAATAAAATACATATCAACACCAAACATTACTTTTCTTCTGTGTATCCTAGTTTTCAGAAATTTCTTCTGAAAATATTCTCCAGAATTTTGTCTTACTCTATTAAAGCACAGTCTCCAGAACTGAAGATTTGGGAGCTGGAAGGTGATTTTAGTTTTGGTTTTGTTTTTAAGTAGGCCTCAGTTTTTCCAAACACACAAACAAAGTAAATTACCTTCTTCCCTATCTTCCTTCCAAAAACTAGATCACTATAGTTATGAGCTATATCATTTGCATCAAGAATTTTAAAATTGGTAGTGACCACCCAGTTCAGACACAGAATTAAACACGCCTCATTGCAACTAAAGTATACAGATGGAAGCTGTTGGAGAAGCAGGTATAAATAAATAAAACACACACAACTACTTCATGTCACATATCAGAGGACTCAAATAATTATTATTGCTTTTCCACATTAAGATTATATCTCTGTGTGAATTAAGTTTTTGAACAAAAATTCTGACTTACGAATATTGAAATCATCTTTGTAATTTGAAGGAAAGGGCTGAGGTGGTGGAGGCTCTGGGCAACGACATTTCTGCCCTGTCTTGAGCGTGGTTAAAGTGTAGACTTCATCCACATTTAGATCTAAAGAAAAACTTCCCTTCCATACCTGGAATGAAAGAAAGTTCAAGCTGCAAAAATCAAATAACTAAACAACAAAATACCTAAGTTCCTGAATTAGAGGAGATACTGTAAAGTCCCGATTTAGGGCAAAAACCCTATCTTCTTGCCTCAGCATTTAATATGTCAGAGCTATTTCGAAAACTGGTTTCCCCTAAACTACTTATTATCTGCAGGTAAGCTTTTATATAGCTAGTAAAACTGTAGTCAAACAGAGCTAATAAAACGTGTCCTAATTATAAAGTTTAGGCATGGAAGTCCAGGAGTTCCAGCAAAGCAGGAAGAAACACCTGAAACTGCAGAGAGACTGTAATTAAAACTGATCAACTTACCTTTATTGGATGGAGTTGCTGGAAAAGACTAGAGTTTCCAGATTCAAAACCTAGTCTAGAATGCCAAACTTGAAGGGTTTCCACCATATACTACAATGAAACAGAATATAAAATTAAAAAAAAAAAAAAACCACACACACGCCAAAAAAAAAAGAACCCACACTCTTGAATACTCTCCTTGAGAAATATCAGTCTAAGGGTGTCTAATTTTTGTTATTTTAGAGCTGTTGATCACATTAGAAGCCACCACTCTGTTCAGCTAGCCATTACATATGGCTTATCTTTTTTATAGATTATACGTCAATAAGCCATTGTCCTAGCATGCAGTAATGTTACTTATAAAGACAGAAAGCATTGCAATCACATATGTATTCTTTAGCTTCCGTATTACCAACAACGGTATCCCTTTGATACCACTTCTCTGCCTAGGAGCAACCAGGCTGAAATAATCTCCTGCTAATTTTGCTTTAATGAGACCTTTAGTTTAGTTGCTGGTTCTTTGATATCACTTTTTGAGCAACGTACTTCACTTACAGATCTCCAAATTTCTGCGATACTATGGCATATCAAATTACATTAGCTACAGATTTTAATCTTGTCCAAGCACTACATTTTTTTTTCAGTTACCCTGATGAACAACCAATCAAGAAATCTAGAGTTTGGTTGAATATGCCACGTGACACTTCTCCCAAAGGGACCTGTATATTAGAAGTGACACTCAACTACTTTTTCTGAGCAAACCATTTTATTGCCAAAAGTATTGTCCAAACTATCTCCTCTTAAACAAAAGGAAACTAACGTCACCAAAAATCAAATTCCAAATAAGTAAATGCTTCAGCTTCTGAGAAGCAATCATCCAAACCAACAGTTTACACTGTGAAAGTACTGTTCACATTTCAGAGGGAAATTCAGTTTAGAAAGGTGTAAAAAAAAAAAAAACACCCACACAAAACTGGGGGATTCTCAGACTATCTCTTCACAGGATGGAAGAACGTAACTTGCAGTATACAATCAACTGCTACCCTGGAAAGCAGCTGATAGCAACTAGAGAGGTAATGGCCATGCTGGCCAGTCAAACTACGTCAGCATGTCAGAGCACCCAGTCTTGGAATAAATCCTAAATAAAAATCCAATTGCATTTCTGTTCCAGGGAATTTCTTCAATATACAGATGATTAGACTGGGAGACAGTAATTCTACAAATTCAGTTGTGACATTACATCTCATGGTGAAAGCAGAACTAGAATGCTAGGTGTGTAGCAGCCTCTAGTATTGGAAGTAAAGAACTCCAATTTCTTGCTAGCCTGTGATATTGTCTTGCATGTATTTGACTGGATTGCAATTCATTTTACAAGACTGATCAAATGTATTCAAGATCTACTTACAAATGATCCTTTGAGGTAGAAAGTTGCTTTCTGAGGTGTCACGCTGAAATGAGGCAGTGGAGGCCTGATACATTGAGAGTGATTATGAGTCTGAAGAAAAAAATAAGTGTAACAGAAAGAACATACATCACTGAAATGCGTCACATGGCAATGCTCATGAAAAACATACAGCATAAACTGAAATTTAAATGGTAACATAGGATCAATTTGTAACTATTTATTTCACTGTTATTGTAATGATAAATGCAATTATACTAGCTTTATTTTGAACGCTGCTTAAAAAAGCACAATTTAATTTTCTCCCAGAGTGTATCATCAAATTAAAGCTAATTTGTGATATAAACATGACATGTACATTGGTGTCCAGAAGATTCAACTAGCTAATCAATGCTTAGGTAGAAAAAAGGACCTCTAGTGGTCTCACTAACAAAGCTACAAGCACCAAAGAACATATTCACAGGTATAAATCAAAACAGTTTCTTCATAATAAAACATTTTATTTATCTTTCCCAGTTCATTTGAATTGCTGATGCACATACCATAGTTTCAATGATGATGGTAAGGTTTCCTAGGCCATCTGTCAGAGCTACAAAACTGCCACCTCCTTCTAAGCGTCCATCCACCTGCAAGTATGACCAGCCCGGCTGAGCAAATTGCGTTGTGTGTGCTGAGACAAAACAGAACAAAAACCGGAAGAAAATAATTAAGTCTTCATAAAAAATAATGCCATCTGTAGCCTGAATTAAATTTCTCTCTCATACACGCTTACACAATGAAAATTTAATTTTTGGAAGAAAGAAATCAAACTTCCGAAACAAATTCTACCTACACAAGAAGAAAGATTAAAGAATTATACTAAGGCACAATTAAAAACACCAGTTCTGTGGCATACGAAACAGTTAAAATGATACCAATTATTTAGACAGGAAGAAAAATCTATTACACCACTATATAAGTCAATCATGCACCTGTAATACGAATGTTCCATCACAGTTCACATTTTCCAAATCCCTCCCTTTTTTTAAAAAAAAAAAAGGAGAAAAAGTAAACAGTTGAGCCAGAGAATGCATAGATGGGCATCTCCATGAGGAATAACTAAATAAGTAAGGTTTTCAGCATATAAGAGAGAGTACCAAAGAAGAGTATGACCTAGATCATGAAAAACCTGAGTAACATGAAAACAGGAACAACTGTTCAGTTGTTCTGAATGGTTCATATAACAGCATGGCTATTTTTCTTTAATGCTTTCACATATAAAGGTAACTAGCAGAAGAATAAAAAAAGCAGGTATTTGCCTTGTTCCTCCTTTATGGTATTGCATATGCTCCTTGCTCTACTGAACGGTGGCAAAGACAGGAACATATTACAGGACTACAGAGTAGCCAGTGAATCCATGCGTCCCTAGATGCTGTGTGAACATACTCCCCTTTCCCCAAGCATAAGGAAATAATGACTTACAAAAGCCAAGAATCTCAAGCAGGACAAGAATACAGACATTCTTTGTTCCATTTTCTCAAATTGAGAGGTATCAAATGTCTACTTCAAGATTTTAAAAAGAAAAGGGAAAGGAACTAGCAAAGCGCACTAACCTTTATGGGCACTTCAGATCAAAATATTTTAATAGTAACAGTTATAAAAGGCAGCAGTTTATTCATTTCTGCTGAATCTAACGGTCAAGTATTAAGATTTCCCTTGCTATTAGATTCTTCTGCTTTCTACTGAAAGGAACTTTTTCTATTTTTTCTTCTTCCTCCTTTTTCAAAGTATTCACGAAACCTTCCACAAATTTATTTTAATTTGGTAAAAAAGATAATACATATAAAGAACATTAAATAAAGGCCTTGGAAAATATAGTTACACTCTGTGCTAGATCACCAAACTTAACTGCAAACTTTTTACCTGTAATCCAGATAGGAGCTTCTACTTTGTAGTGGCCACTCCATGGCTCTTGTGCCGTCATTAATCCGCATCGACCAAAGGGCAACTCTTCATAATAACTAGCCACCAAGTTCCATGCAATGGTTCTGGAAGAAAAACAGGTTTGTTTGCTCCATTCATGTGGATAGTATTAGATGAATTTAGTATGAGAATTTATTTCTCTCTTCTCCAGCATACAATGAAAAGAAGTGTAAGGAAAAAAAAAAAAAAAAAAAAAATGAGCTAAAGGAGAAAAAAAAGACAGGAGAGGAAAATGAAAGCCATCAGCTTCCCGTGTTCAGAACTTCTTACAAAACTGGTGATATATTCTCTGGCTATATCACCACAGAGAGTTGTACATTAAATGAAATGTGTACTGAGGGTTAAAGACTCCATTTGTATTGTTTTTTCCTATTTTGAAGGGGAAATAATTAATTTATCAAGGTTTACAGCTTTTTGTTGGGGTGTTGGTGTTTTTTCTTTGGTTCGTTGGTTGTTGCTGGTGGTAGGCTGGGTTTTTTGAGGGGGGGGGGAAGGAGGGGTGTTTGGGGAGCAGTTAAGTACCACTAAAAAAAATAATCCTTCCTTTATCCATATAAGTAACAAACAGAAAACAACTCTAAACAGCCATCCTCCAGGAGTTGTTGCTATTTCAAGAAGTGGTCAGGATACTGACAAGATTAATTACTTCAGGTCTTTTGATTTGGTCTTCACTGAAAATATTTTGCTAGCACTTTAAGACCTGTGCACCATAAATATGGAAATACAGCTTCACAAAGCAGTTATGCAGAAAGCAAAGGCTGGCATGCTGTTCTGCTACTGCATACAGATAAGTGCAAAGGCCTCATTTTACAGTCATTGCCATAGATTTATTGCACTATATACGCATTTCAGAAAAGATCCTGAAATCCTACAAAAAGGTGCTCATAAAATAAACAAGTCTTGAGTTGTAAACTCAGCTTGCTCATATTTAAATTTTTCTGCAGAGTTTCAAACTTAGAAAAAGAATGTAGGGAAGTCCAGTTCAAAGGAAACAAGCTTAGCAGAAAGATAAGCTGCCTTTCATCAAGATGACTCTGTTTTCAATAAAAGAGCGAAGGTAACTTCAATATTGGATACAGTGACTTGTATTTAGAAATTATTGTTAGAATAGTTCCAATACATAAGTCTGGCTGTCAGGCTGCTAAACAAATGGAGCATATATAATTACACAGTGCTCGTAAAAAAGAAAAACAGTGGGCAAAGACAGACCCCAAAGTATGATATTAAAGCATATGAGAGTCAAAAGGCAACCAGAATTGTCAGGAATTCACATAGGAAGTATTCATGTGTTCGAAAGTTTCAGCTTGTAGAGAAGGAGACAGAAGGTTCATAGAAGAAACTAGGTGACTCAAGAAACTTCCAAGTGTCTAAGTGCTTTGTGCTGTGCTCCATTTCAAGCATTTCAGACAAAAAAAATTCTCTTTAGTGTTCAAAATTAAGCTACATAAAAACTAAAAAGCTTTGAACAATTTTGCTTACATATTGATGCCTATCATTTTTTAATTAGACTTTTTTCCTCTCAGAGTAGTAGCTGTTGCATTGAAAGCATCAGTGTTTTCTATTCTCTTCTAAAACTGAAAGTTATGTACTTTCCCAGTACATAGAACAGCTTTCTTTCAGATTTCAGTTTGGAAAGAAAACATGCAGGAAACAGTAAACATATCAAAAGACTACAGCATGGTTTAGAATGGACTCTGAGAAAGAAGCTGTATGGAAAAACTAGATAATTACATCCGTACCTACTACTTTTAACTGAAGACAACCAACCTGATAAAGACCTTAAGAAAAATACAGATAAATTAGCTTTATCATTGTTTTCCTCCAATGTTTTTCATGCTGTTAGTTCTTCTTAGGAACATTCTCTTTTTAACAAATATCAGAGTCTCAAAGGTATCTGAACTCAGCTGCATAAGCCATTGGGTACTAAGGAACAGTAACTCAAGAATACATTAAAACTTGTGGGACCTCTACCCCAGAAAGAGGTAAGGACAGTAGACTTCAGACCTTACTATATTTGAATTCAGTACGGCAGGGGAGAGATTTTCAGTTTACCTACTATCTTACCACAGCAGATGGATGTGTTTTATAGCACAGTACTTTAAACAATTCTTACATATGAAGTTGTGAAAGCGAGCAACAGCGTACAACACTTACGCAGTCATGTTTCCATTCACATAGTTTTGGTTCAGAATCCGAGCCCAGCAGCCTGCACCCACTTCATCATTGAAAGTACTGTAATCTTCTGAAGACCACAGTTTCTTCTCAGTTAATAAAGCATTTAGCACTGTTTTTGTTCCAGGATAGTGAGCCCTACACAGCATTTTAAAAAGAAAGAGCACTTATCACAAGAAGAAAAATCAAAGCCTGGAAATACAAACAGCAGCAATCACTCCCGTCCTCCAAACTGAAAATGAGAAACCAATTTTTTATGGAATAATATTAATGGATAGAAGAAAATTGAACAAGAGCGCTATAATATTCTGTAGCTTATTGTATTTGCAACCATAGAAGATGGTTTCTTGTAATGCATGTCAGCATATAAGTAAATCTAGCTTTAAAAATATTGTGCAATTTCTGCATCTGGCTAAAGCAAAGAAATTGAGCTTGATTTTCATAACTGTACTGTGCTAAATAGTGAAAACACAAGCTACTCCTTGTACTGTCTTAAACAAAACCCATAAACAGTTACAAAACCACCAATAAGATACAGTACTAAGCATTATTCTAAGAACTTAAGTGCAAAAGGCATGCTAGGTGGGCTATAAAAGTTACGGAGGTGTAAATTGAAAATAGTTGAAACATATAATGAAAGCTCATTTTCTTTCCAAGATCTTCCTTAGTATGAGGAGAGATGCTTTCTCCCAAACGAAGACCACTTGTACTCAATCACAACATCAATTCACTGCGCCAAACTAGTCTGACTGAAATAAAACCTTTCAAATTACTTGCAGAAAACAGGGCCATGATTTTTCCCTCACTTAGCATACTTATTGAACACACTAAATATATACACTAAAACAAAATTATCAGCACTGCAAAGGAAGGCATAAGTATTTCCTTTACTATTAGCCTAAAAATTGACAAATTTATCAATTTGTGACAGGGACAAAAGAAATACCAGTTTTTCTAGGCTGACTGTTGGTTTTAGGATTTTATCATTATTTTCCCCCTATTGGACAATGGGCCATTTCCCAGTGTTGTAGGCCTTCATACACAGCTTCATTAAGACAATATAACAGTAGAGATTTAAGCTACATCCTTCTCTGCTGTACAGATTACTGTATATTTCTTCTTTGGCTTGGAAACACAAGTATTACATTGATACCAAGCAAAAGGTTTTGTAATTACATAAAGCATGTAGCTTGCAAAGACAAGGCAAAGAAGGAATAATTTGTCTTTTTGCACTCCATATCCTGAAGAATTGTTTCTTAAATATTAAGTCAACATCTCTGCCAAATACAAGTTGTACTTTACAAATAATGAAAAAAAAGCATTAGAGACATTTACGTAAGATTACACAGGAACAAAATCTACAGAGCTCTGATTTCCTGCATTAAGATAAAGGGTCGCCTTTATTCACATAAGAGGGAAGAGAAATAATTCAATGCAAAGACACTAAAGTGATGGCAATAAACTGGGAAAAATAGGTATGATAAACAGGATTGAAATTACAGGGAGAACAAACAGGTTCTAGCGGCAGACTCCTTCAGTGTATCTTTATTGGCAGCTCTGGTCCACTTAAAGCCCACACACTTAAAACATTCTCATTTTGTCCTATTGGTATGCAATCAGGTAAAACAGTTTCACCATCAGTTGAGAAATGAATCCTTTTCTTCTCCTTTTAGATGCAATTCCTATTACTGCTAATGAACACAATTTACACTGTACTTGCTTTTCACTTATACTGCTGTTAACCAGGGGGTTTTGTTTTACTTTCATTAATATCAGTCCTTAAAAAGTAGGACATGACTAAGGAGTGTGTAACTCCTATTCCATATGAAAACTAACTTTTTTAAAAAATAAGGACACAATCTACAGATCACTGTATAGTGTACACTTCCAAAAGACCCACCCAAATGCACAAAATAAACATTTGCTGTCAGATTACAGGGAAGACTTTCACACCCAGTACGTGCTGGATTTGTTGAACTCTATGTGATTTATATTTAAAGAAAACACTAGATCATTCTACAGCCCTCTTTTAGATGTCTTGTGCCACTCTACAGTCTCAGCAACTAACACAAGGTGTGCAGCAAAGGACAGATTAGCAGTGTCCAGAACGGAGTGCTGCTCTTCATTAGTGAAAACAACCTTTTTACTTCACTGGCAATGAAACCTACACAGGAGTGACTATAATCCAGTTACTCTCAGAAAATAATTGGTCCACTCAAGGACCACCACTATTTGGAGAAACTTGAGTATCCTGACTAATGTTTCAGGAAAAAGCACAGACTGCTAAACACCTACCTTTCTTGCTGCCTGAAAAGATGAACTGGAGCAGAGTTTATTTCTTATCGGTGTGATGCTTCAGCAGAAGCAGTGGGATTTTGGATTCTCTACTCAAAAGAGCAGAGAGTCAGGCACACTATAACAGCAGACCATTTGAAAGAGAGAGGAAAAAGTGATGTATATATTGAAAGGGGGAAAAAGAATGGATCTTGCTGGAGAAAAGGTAATGAAAATAATACTAGGAACAGAATTACAACAAAAGTGACACATCAATTTAAACCTCTTACTACTGCAAGAGAGAAATCTACCAAGAGCTATTACTATCAGTATTTGCATTCTTCAAACTACTGTCATTTACTGTCAAAAAATATTTTGTTGTTCCCTCCTCCTTTCAATCTCTCTGGAATCAGCATATGGTTCGTTCATCATGAGGGACTCTAGCTGTTAGAGTGGTAACAAAGTATTTTTAAAATATTAACTATTATGAGGTTAAGTGTGTTTTATGCAGCCGATGAAGGAGCAATACAACTCCAACAGGAAAAAAATCCACAGTTGCCTGTGCAGGGCGGCTGAACTAAATCAGATATACTAAGAAAGTAGCATTAATTAAGAAAACCTCTTCTATTTATGGATTGCAAATGCTGCTTCTCGCAATTGCCCACAGCGACTTCTTTTGGATAACTTAGTTAAAAAACAAACAAAAAACTTTGTATTATTTTTTGTTTTGTATATAGCAATGGCCCAATGGGGAGGGAACGGGAAAATCACAATAGGATAGCAGGTTTTTCCACCATTTTTCTCTCATGCATCAGTACAAGGCTACAGAAATTAAATAAATCTTAAAAAAGACTAGCCTATATAATACCATCACTACAGTGAAGCTTTGCAGAAAAGCACTACCCATGAAAACCTCAAAAACTAGTTCTCAAAAACAGCTGACAACACTGTTTCCTGGAGATAACACTGTCTTTCCTGCTTCTCATTCCGTATCATCACACAGGCCTGCGAGGGACTTGGGACAGTTTGAATTCCCACTACTACAGGCACCACATCGCAATTCCATCATGCAGTAACGTCACAACATCATCTTCTTTTTCTTAGGTTTTTAACTTAGGCATAATTAGGTCTAACAAGTTTCTTTAAAAGGCTTGGTTTTCTGTGACACATTCAGCCAAATGTGTGTTTAGATCATATCTTGTTAAGAACACTGATGCTTCTGACAAAACAGACCAAGCTGTCACCTAATGGCATACTAAATTTATATTAGGTGAAAATGCAAGTTGTTACTCCTAAACTCACTGACACTTTCTGAACACAAATGGGGGGAGCAGAATTTTCAACACGTAGAGTCAGGACAGCTTGGTCTCTAACTGTATAGTATGCAAAAAAATTAACTGGTTTACAGCGCTACTTGTTTGTAACACTGTTAAGTAATGTGTAATTTGCAAGCCCACGTTTGAAAAACTTTGTTTTAAAGAGCTACAATGTAATTTAAACATGTTCAGAGTAGGAGCAATACTTATTTATAATTCATTGGTAAAACTGATGCAACCATAATAGTTCGGAAAAGCTGTTTGGAGCTACCACATTATAAAGAGCTTTGGAGATCTGGGTCATTCCTGTGTTGGTGAACATCTATTAACAGTTTTACAGCGTACCTTCAGAGCTCCCTCTCATTTTCAACCATTACAGTGCCTTGCAGAGGAAGCATGGATGCCAACTGTGCAAAATAAAACAAAAGCAGCAGTTTCAACTGATCTCCCATCCAGCTTGTCTGGCGAAAGACCTCACAGATCACAAATCACGTTACCAAGTCCAAATTTGATTTTATATATATTTATGCAAAATACTGGCTATCTGAAATACCTTTTATAGTTTCAAATAAAAAAGAAAGCCAACAAATTTCTTTTAAAAGGATACCATGATGACATGCACACCACTAAATGTCCAGTAGCCAACCGATTATCCATGACACAAAGAGTATTTCATCTCCCTGTTAAGATTGAATCACAGTACAGACATAAAACTTCCACTTGTCAAGAGCTAAGCAACTACAGCTTACTCAGATAGCACAAAAACAGTTGAACTTTAGGAACTGACTCTGGGTGCATACCTGTAGCTGCCAAAACACAGAAAGGAAGCGTGCTCACTACATTGGGGTCATAGTAAACTACAGTGGGTTTGTATCTGGTCAGAGTTCACAATTGCTTTCACTTGCTGATCCATACACAATCCAAGACTCCACTTGTAAAAAACTGTCAGGATACTTTTTGTTGTTCAGAATTGGGAGAGGGACTGATTTTAGGGGGACATTGACTGCCTATCTATATTTGGAAGGAAACCCTCCAAATTCTACACCTTCTATAGGTCAGATATATAAAGATGAATGAAAAAGACTGAAGTCAAAGCAAGAAACAGTCACATCTGAAGCCTGTGATTGGGTCAGGCAAGTTTATGGAACCTAGTAATTAAAATTTAGAGCTACTGTAAAAAGAAAAGTTAATGAGCAAGTCTTATACACGTTTCCATTCAGCAGACAAGTCAGTAATCAATCTCAAATTTAGTCTACTACTTTTGAAAAATATTAGCATCATATGATGAAACCCAGAACCAGAAAAACAAGTCAGATGGTTGCATGTTTTCCAAACACAACCTTCCCATCAAAACAAAATGGGAACTAACAACCAAGACATTATTATAACTAAAAAAAGAATCATAGCCCAAATTCATTTCTGGATCACACAGATTTCTGTAACAGATCAGTGGAAGTCAGTAATACAAGGCTGAATACAAAGCTGTAAAGGTAAAGCATTTTTTGCATACCAAATACAGGTACCAAAACAACCCTCAGAATAAACAAG